GAGAATGAAAAAGATTTCATTTTCATTCATTCATAAAAATCAAGTAATTTTCATTGTGAGAATTTTTTCATCAGAATTTAACTCACGCTTAAGGGATGATTTCATCCATGTAATAAACTTAAATTAATAATTGTTTTTACCTTTTAATTGTATCAATTTCACCCTTAAACTCATTTAATTGTATCAATTTTTCTTTAATCTACATCGTTATGGTAGTAACGTAACGATCAATTGTAATGAAATGATAGTCTAAATGTTAATGATGACATGATAGAGGGGTTGATTTAATTTTTTAGCTGAATTCAAATACATAATTGATTTTTGACCATTTTAAGGGCATTATTGGTTTTAGTTAAAATTTCAAAGACTTTTCTAATCTTGAAGCAAATATATATATATTAAAATATTAAAAAGAATATTAAAATTTCTTAAATAGTCATAAAATTATTAAAATAAAAACACTATACAATTTTAAAAAATTAAATGAAAATTTTAAAATTAAAAATATAAAAAGGTATAAAATGATAAATTATAAATATAAAAATTTGAAGTCTAAAAATTATTAATTTATTGTTTTAGTGAATATTGGGTGATTTATTTATTTTTACTTGATTACAAAAATAGACGCGTGATATTATTTTAAAAGTATTCTATACATTTAAATAAAAGTAATATATTTTTATATATTTTTAATTAAAAATACTTAAATAATTATTTTAATCAAAATGATAATTTAAAATGTTTATTTAATGAAAAAAACTTTAAATATATAACACTTTTATTAGACTTGATAAAAATTGAAACCAAGAGGAAGGAAGAATAAAAGTGCGGAAGAGAAGAGACAATGGCGACCGACAAATGCACATGCAGATCCAGGGATGAATGAACTGTCAGCATCCGTACCTCTTACATGTGAAAATAAGTACATTTAAACACAGACTTATTACATATTCCTTTTTCTGAAAATAAATAATAATAAAAATTAGAGAAGGAATGGTGGGATGAGAGGTGGCTTATCGGCATATTTTGCCTGTAAACAAACATTTATATTTGGAATATACGACGTCTTTGCATGTTTTGTCCACAAAATTCAACATTCTCGGTGGCTACTGTTGCATTCAATTAATTGATTTCTCCTTTTTTATTATTTATAATCTCACTGAAAACCTATTTTAAAGCCTGCCTCAATCGATAGATCCTTTTATTCTCTTACAGAGATTTTGATTTCAAATAATCATGTTTATATATATATATTGTCAGCTATTTAAATTTTTTTAATAAATATTATTTTATAATTATATTAGAATATTAAACAAATTGACAGGGAGAAATAAAAAATGAAAATAGTAACATTAGTTGTGAAAAAGGTAAGGTAAGCCAACTTCTAGTAGGGTTGAGCAACGAAATTGAGAAAATCGAAAAATTGATATGAATCGAGTAAAACGGTTCGGTTCGATTTGGGTTTACGTTTAAACGGTTCGATTTCAGGTTGATTTAAAGAATCAATTCAATTGATTCGGTTTGATTTGAGTTTTCCGTATGGAACCCACTTGTTTCATACTGAACCGAATAGATAAAAAATTATAGTTTCAAGTGAATTTTTTTATTGAAAAACCGACGAATCGAACCGAACTGAAAAACTGCATTATCGAACCGAACCGAACCAAAAAATCGGTTTTATATAATTCGGTTTCGGTTTAAATTTTAAAAAGCCGTTTATTTTGGTTCGGTTCAATTTTTAGTAAAAAACTGAACCGTACCGAATACACCCGTAACTTCAAGTACTCCATGGGCCAGTTATGTTCATTATCTTGCAGACAATGTTAAAATAAATGTTCTTTTTATATATTTTAAGTTGGGAATAGTATGATCCAGTGGAGATAATGTAGACTGATAGTGTTAGGTGGAGAGGATATTTGGATAATGTGAATTGGAAGTGAGAACTTATTGAGCGATTTTAATGATAAAAATGAGTATTATTTCCTTTAAAGATTATGAATTTAATTAATTACGTACAAGTATATGTGATTTTATTCCAATGCTCAGATCTGCAAATGTTGGGAACGGAAGAAGAAAAGTGGAAATGATGAGTAAATCCGTAAAAATATATCATTAGCCATACACAACACATCTTTGCACCATAAATATCAAGGTTAATGTAAAATCCTCTAACCTGGTTAGGGGATACATAGAAAGTGTTGTCATATAGAGTTGGAACCCCAAAGCTGCCAGCGAATATCTTGATCGGATTCAAACAAAATCTTGGACCAACCTGCACAGAACCAGAACAGACAAGTATATTGCAATTACATGCAGCTTAAGTACTACATAATCATACTGTTACTGTATGAACAAGAAAGCACAAATCAAAGTGCACCTCAACAAGGATCATTGTATCGAGTCCCCCTCGACCAACTTGTCGGATTCATTACGAGGAACATATATCCGCATTAGGAAAACAGTGTTAAGAGTGATACAAAAAGTTAATCGTCACAAACCAGTACATTGATGACACTGGTGGCAAATAAATTCCATGCACTATAAAAAGCATACAACTTCATGAACCAGGTAATTGTTGAACCAAATGTGGTCATCAACAATGGAGAAAACAAAGGATAATGATACGGTTTAGATTTCTGGTGCTACTTTGGAGTTCCAAATATCTCAATGACTCGAAAGAGATCAAAGAAGAAAGACCATACCTAACATTTAGTTTAGGTTTTATTTTGGTACCTATTAGGATATATTAATTGTTATAATAGTTAATTAGTTATTCAGTTTTTTTCTTGTTTGTCATGGTAGTTAGACTAATTGTTATATATAGCTCATCTGGTATACTTTTCTCAATTAAGCAATTATATAACTGCTTGCATTGTGCTTGTGGAGGAGTGAAACGTATGCTTGAAGAGCAATAGCAAGAACATGTTATTCAGTTGGGATTGAATGAATCCTATGCTCATATCAGGGGGGAAATTCTCCTTTACCTTAGATTTCCAAAGTGTTCTTTTTATTATTATTATTATTCAGGAAGAAAACCAAAGAAATGTCAAGAATGTTCACCCGGTCATCGACCACAATGCAGTTATTGTAACATTCTTGGAGATACAAAGGACAAGTGTTATAAACTACATGGTTACCCTCCAGGCTACACGTCCAAGAACTGGTCTTCGAGTTCTTCAAGGGGCAAGAATAATCAAGTGGCTCGTACTAGTTTAGTGGTTATATCGAATGAGGTCTCTCAACAAGGCTCTTCTTCGATCAATGATGCCTCGACTCCTCAGCAATGTCAGCAATTAATTGCTATGCTTACATCTCAGTTACAAGATGCATCGTCCTTGGATATTCCCTCAACTTCGATTAATACAGTCATGCAAAGTGAGCTTTTGTATGTTGAGAAATCAGAATATTGGATTCTGGATTCTGGGGCTTCCAGACATATTTGTTTTTCGAAGTCTCTGTTCGAGTCTTTAGCTTCTATTTCAAGTGGTTCTGTTATTTTGCCTAATAAATATATTATTCTAGTTGGTTTTGCGGGAACAATTAGACTTTCTTTTGATCATCACTGGTGCATCCTCTGGATTGGGTTTAGCCACTGCTAAGGCCTTGGCTGAAACTGGGAAATGGCAAGTCATAATGGCCTGCGGAGACATTCTCAAGGCTGAAAGAGCTGCAAAATCTGCTGGCATGTCCAAAGAAAACTACACCATTATGCATTTAGATGTCGCTTCGCTCGACAGTGTCCGGCAATTTGTCCATAGCTACAAGCGATCGGGAAGGCCTCTTGATGTGCTTGTTTGCGATGCTGCTGTCTATTAGCCAACTGCCAAGGAACTCTCATTCACTTCTGAAGGACTTGAGCTTAGTGTGGAAACTGAACATCTCTCTCACTTCTTCTTTCGATCTTATTACTCCATGACTTGAAGCAATCTGATTATCCATCAAAACGCTCTGTTGGTTCCATTACAGGTAATTTGCAACCAATGCATTCTTCAAATGACTTTTTTTTATATATATAAAAAAAGATTGTGATGTTGATGTACTTAACTTTTTTCACCGTTTTCACTTGCATTCCATCCAATTTTTTCATCTATGAAAATGATGTTATAATATTAAAACTTAGGGTAAATTAAATATTTAGTACCTAAACTATCACTTTTATTCCGCTTTTGTACCTAAACATTTTTTCCAAATTCATACATAATGTTTAGTTTAAGTTTCAATTTGGTTCCCACCATTAAAACCTTAGCGGCAGCGATGACCTAGATTATTAACTTAATTTTTTTAATATATATGTGTGTATGTATGTATAAGAATTTTATGACTTTTAATTTATAAATTTAAAAATCTAAACATTTCTAAAATAATTCAAAATTCACAAAAAATTAACTATATTCTTAAATTAATATGTTTAAAAATATTTATATACAAATATATTTTTTTTCTAATTTTTATCATGTAATATTTTTTAATTCTATCACGTGACGAATTATAATGGTGCCATGCCATTCTGTTAACATAAAATTCATACGAATATAAGCGATAATATGAAAAATGCTAATAATTTAGATATCTAAAATTAACAATGTTCTCCTTCAAAAGGTTTTCAACAGTAAAACCTTTTTTAGAAAATAGAGTTGGGAGTAATGCATTAGGTCAGTAAGCTGATATAGTTGGGACCAAACAATCGTTCGGAATAGGCTATACTGTCTCACTGAAACCCTTAATCTTTCCTTTTTCTTCCTTATAATACGGTAGGATTACAATATGATATATATTCATAACAATTTTAACTATTGAAGACTCATATGCTTTATAGATATAATTGTTCGAATCTATAACCTCTAAAGAGACCAACACTCCCTTTATTACTTCATGAGTTCAAACCAAGAATCTTTCGTACATTATTTAGTAATGGAAGATCATTGGTTTGGATTCATTGGTTTAACCAATTGAAGATCACCGTTATTCGTTCAAGAAAATACAAGCATTGCATGATGAACTGGAACACAAACACCAGTCTTGTTTACAAGAAACTTCAAAAAAAATTACAGAATTTTGAATTAGGGAAGAACAGGAAATAAAAAAAAAATTATGAATCTAATACGAAATACCATCTATCGCCTATATCGAACCCTTAAGAACATGAAATGGAAACCCGTCCCAGACAATGAAGTAAGCAAATCAATAGCATAAAGTTCTTGCAGTCACATAGTATTACTGCAATAACTTGAAGTCCCAATTCCTTTCTGTCATCGCTTACTTGTAGGCTCCCATGCCAACTCCAGCCTCTCGGCCGCCTCCGTAAGGCTGGAAGCTGTTCTCCCTAGCATTTGAGTAGCTAATATAGTACAACTTATTCACTATGGCTGTTAAGAAAATGAAGGCTGCCCCTGCACCGAACACTCCTTTTCTCACTGTTTCACAAGACGGAGGCTGCTCGCTGAAAATGGACCGATACTTGGTGTGGTAAGCATTCCGGACCGATCCGGCCAGCAAGCATATCTCCGCTATTAGGAAAAACAACCTGTGACACAGGCAATTCAAAGAATTAAGTGGAACTTTCAAATCTGCAAAATTTGGCACAAGTTTGTGACATACCAGCATACAATGAAAAGGATGACTGCCCAGGCCCTTGAACCGCTAGGGTTCATGGCCTTTCCACAGCAGAAGCATCGGCTGGCTACCATTATAATGGCTTGGCTAGCCATAAGGAACAAAAATGCACCAACACCATAGCCAGTGGATATGTCTGAGTCATATACACAATAGTTGTAATTAACTTCACTGTCCTGGACAATCTTCGCCTGAAACAAAGCATACACCATAGTTTAGTTGCTTTGAGCTGAATCAACAATTAATCACAAAAGATCTACATTTTTTTATGGAAACTCAGCTGAGATCTGGTAAGTTCATACACTTGAGAATTATAACTGATAAAATCATTTTCCCCTTCTGTTTGATTTGTAGAAAGCTAATATATGCATGTGTATATGTAATGATACGATATTCGAAAACAGCAATTTCATATATAAACTAAAACCCCAGAAAATTAAATCAACATTTACCACTGTTTTCAAACAGGAAATCCCACTTTCTTTCATTTTCCAGCAAAAAAGTAGGAAAATTTCAACAAATCCATAAACTGTATGAATTAATGTTAACCAAAAAATGCATCAAGAAAAGTGAAAGGGAAAGTTACAGTGCTTCTTCTTTGCTCAGCTGCAACAGCTAAACCAAAAGCAATAAGATCAAGAACAAAGACAGCAATCAAAAGAAGCTTAGAAGCCATGGATGAATATAATGGAAGCTTCTCTGTGTTTTTTCTTCTTCTTTGTTTCTCTTTCTCTTTGAAACTCTCCCAATCTAAATATACAAAGAAAAAACTCTATCAGTGTTGAACAAGCAAAGCACATGATTAAAAAAATGAAGGAAAAATATGTTTTTTATATAAAAAAAAATTGTAATTTTCAGGAGAAAATGACACCTCAACCTAAGTTGAAAATGGATTTCACCCAATTTGTCAAAACAGAGGGAAATAGTTTATTTGATTTAGATTTCAAAAATAATTAAGAAAATAGTTATTTTTTTTGGGGGAAGGTGAAAGTAGTTGGAAGGGAGCTTTAAGGTGGCTTCATGAAAGGGAATAAATACCCGCCATAATTAACTGCCTTGGAGGTACACCATTGTGTAGCGTGATGTACCAATATCTACAGCTTGTTTTACACTCTTTGAAGAAGTGGTATGTTTTGGTAGTTCATGAAAAAGAATTGGTGCCTACTAAGGTATGTGAATTTCCATGATCCATTTCTGTCTCCCTCTCTTTTTTTAAATAAATAAATAAAATTAAAGTTTAAACACAATTAATAAAGTATTGACATCAATATTAGTGAAAGTGGAAATGAAAATGAAATAATATTATAATATAAATAAAATGATACTAAAGAATATTTTCTTAACTTTTACCCCTAATAGAAAATAAAAGTAAGGGTGTAAATGAACAGACGTTCGATGAACTGTTCGTGAACCGTTTGTTTATTAAGTTAAATAAATGAGTATGAACAAAAAAATATGTTCATTCAATAAACAAACGAACATGAACATAAGTGTGTTCGGTTCGTTAATGTTTACGAACAAGCTCATTTATGAGCTCGTTTATCAACTCGTTTGTTAATGTTCATGAACAAGCTTGTTTAATGGCTCGTTCAAAAGCTTCTTTTTTTTACATTTTAAATATTAGTGAATGTATGGACTAAATTGAACACATGGTGAAATTTGGAGTTTAAACTATGAAGCTTAAGGGGTTTAAGCTTTAGTAGTGTGATTTTATCATTTTAGCATGTAAATGAACATGTTTACGAATGTTAAACGAACATATAAGCGGACGTTAAATGAACATGCTCGCGTACGTTAAATGAACATGCTCACGTACGTTAAATGAACATGTTCATGAATGTTAAATGAACGAACACGAACACATTCAAAAATAAATAAACGAACATGAACTCATAAACAAATGAATACGAATATAACTTTATTTATTCAAGTTCGGTTCATTTACATCCCTAAATAAAAGTAAATTAACTCGATTGTTAAATTATAATATAACCTTATTATTTTTCTTAATTTTGATTCCTAATAGAGTTATCTAACTTACAAGGAAATTTTAGAATAGACGTCGCACATCGAATCACACCATTAATGTGGCACACGATACATACCACTAATTAAATTATTTTTATTAAATAAATATGTAAAAATATAATGACCCGTCAATCTTTTATTATTATTTAGTTTAAACTTTGATATGAATATATTTAAATTATATTTTCTTATTAAAAATTATAACGTTTATTTATTTATGATTGAAAAATTTATATAAATTTGCATATTCATCCTAGTCGCAACCATCAAAACCAATCGTCAACGATCCTATTTATCATTAAAAAATAGTGTCGTTCAACAAATACAGACGTGTTTAAAATTTTGTTTAGTATATGATTTATTTGATCTGTTTTGTCTTATAATCATCAACCAAAAAAATTTTATGTGAAGAATAAATGAAATATAAATACTGTATAGTAAAACAAAAATTTACGACAGATTTACCAGATAAAGCTTTTCATATTTACTATTCACTTTCATTTGATATGCGCTTAAGGCAAGAGACTCGAGTACCATGCTCTGTTTTTAACCATGAGCAATGAAGTCATGTCGGTCAGTCGGATAAAAAAAAGTTAAAGTTCATACAGTACAGCCATGAATTAAAATTTCACGATTATTATATGAAAAAACATAAGCAGATAACGGAACAATTCAAAATAAGAGAAAAATAACACAATAAGGTATGAATACACAGAATGTGAAAGGAAACAAAGAAACTCAATTAAGTCCCTTTAAAGTTCGCCTTGATAACAGTATTTGGTATGAACTTTGAAATGAACTATGACTGAAGTGCACATATGAAGTAATATGTAACTATGTTTCCTCTTGGTATGGTTCTACAACTGCAATGTGCGTTGAAAAATACGATTTTCCGATGATGAATAGAATTGTCGACGGTTGATTTTGATGGTTGTTGTTGGGATGAATATAAAAATTTATATAAATTAATTATTCTAATCCTAAACAAATAAAATTTTATAAAATAATTATAATTTGTAATAAAAAATATAATTTAATTATATTCCTATTAAAATTTAAACAAAATAATAATAAATGATTAATTATGGATAGGTCATTATATTTTTACATATTTATTTAATAAGAACAATTTAGTTAATAGAATACGTTAATGTGTCACATTAATAGTGTGTTTCGGTGTACGACTTGTAGTCTAAACTCATACTTAACTTACAACTCATAAACATCATTAAGGTTAAATTATTTTATCAATGTTCTACATTATGTATAAATTATGGATTTAGTCTATATACTTTAACTTTTTATATTTAAAATTTCAATCATATTCAAAACATTAATTATGAAATTTATTAAATTAAAATTTTCAATTAATTTTTATATTATATGTTTGTTTTAGATTTACATTATATTTTTCCAATTTGATAATTTAAAGTAATGTAGTTTAATTACATTGTCTAAGTCTATATTATTTGAGTTAGAATTTAAAAATTAAAATTTGAAAATTAAATGGACAAAAACCGATTAAATAATAATACAGGGATTAAATATATAATTTCTAAATAATACAAGTACTAATTATATAATATGACCAATCATTAATTATGTATTTAGTATTGTCGCCATTGAAATGAAATGACAATTTTTTGCGGAGGGAGTGTCGGTGAAGATAACTTGATGCTTTCACCACGCAAAGCCGACAACTCATAAACCTCTTATCTTTTGTTGGACTTGGACACGTGAAAAAAAGCAATCTTTAAAAAGTCTTAGATCTAAAATGTTCTTAAAACTGAATTAATCAATAGAATTAAATTAATTTGATTAAATAGTTGCTATTGAAATTAGTTTTGTTAGGAAATAATTATTTTTTAAATATTTGAGTAATAATTAATTTGATTTAAAATTGATTAATTAACTGAATTAATAAAAAATATTAAATATATATTTTTAACTTAAACTTATTAAAAATTAAGACTCAATTATTTTTTGTTCACACTAAGCATATTAAATTGTTAAGACCTAATTAAATTTTAATTCCAATAAATTTTTTTTTTGAAATCAAATTAATCAAATTTAAAAATAATAAAATTTCGATTAATTCAATGATCGAACAATTGAACTTTATTCAATTGAAAAAAATAATTGAAACCGAACTGATGGTTTGAATACCCATACTCAGATCTACCGCAAGAATGAAACCACTCGAACCGAGTATTGCCGACGAAATTGATAATAAAGACAAGAGGTAGAGAAAACATTTGATTGTCATTTCAGTACAGTCTGGATACAGATATCTTTCTGAACATTCTAACCAATATGATTTTGCCACGTCGGATCATTAACACGTGTTGAACCGCTGGAGAAAATGTAATAATATCTTGACTATGTTCTAATAAAAGGTCAAGATCTTTTGCCTATCATGAATTCTTAAAAAAATTAAGATGATTTATTCCTTTTGTCATTTTCTCATTTTTGTCATTAAAATTATATCATTAGCTATTGATTCTACAATTAAAAATTTTAATTTTTTTATTAAATTAATGATGTACTATTTTAATTCTAATATGAAAATAATATTTTATTTATTTTCTAATGATATAAGGTTTGTTAATTTTTCTCTTTTTTATTCTATTCGAAGATATTTAATTTCATCTGAAATTTAAAAATTATTTTAAAATAGTAAAAGTACACTTATCGAACCCAGGCCATAATTTCAGGTAAGACGGATACTCGAAAATTTTGTTTCATGTTTTTAATTTTTAATTACATAATAAGATTAAATTGTTTTATATTCAGATTAAAATAATTAATTATACACATGTAATTAATCAGTTTTGATATCCAAAACTGATTAATCCAGTCCACCTCAATGGCCACCACGATCTCCATCGTCCAACATCACTTCACTACAACCAAATCTGCAACAGAAGATAATGGATTTACAAAGAATTAAAAGAAAAAAAGGAAATTTAAATCGAAAAAGAGGAGAGGGTGAGAAACTTATCTCATTGGAGTTCTCGGGTTCCTTATGCTTAGAGCACAACCTTTTGAATCCCGATGGTGAACGCGTAGCCCACACAGAAGAGAGCAATATACTTCAAAATTAATAAAATCCAACGACGTGCAATAAAGATAAGAAAAGACAATTTTTTTAAAAAATTTCATTTTGGATTAAACTTACATTTTTAGATGAAGAATGAGTCGATAGTTGTAATCAGAGGTATATTTAACTTGTTTTTAGAACATATATGTCTCCATCTTGAGATTTGAATTTCCTCGATTAATTACTAATTTAATTGATTGTGTTCATTCTAAAATTTTATTTGTATCCACCTCGTATAAAAGATTTTGTGCTTTATGTGATCACCCTAAAATATAATTTTTATATCGGTCATTGTTATAATAACCAAGTTTCGTTCAGGCCAACAAGGACCATCAAAATCGTTAATAGATATTTATGACTTTGATAAAATCATCAGCATCTCTTTACGATATTAACTTAAAATTATTCCCAATTATCAACAATGTAGAACAACTTTACATAATAGTGTTTATCATGAAATTTTGTTTGTGTCTACCTTATTTAAAAATGATATGTTATTAACTTACATGTATTCACCCTATAAAATATTTCAGGATCCCCACTAATTTTAATTTATAAGTTTTAAAACAATAGTAATCAGCAAATAATTCATCCTATTAATTTTGTATATCTAAAGCTATCGTCACCAAAATTCTTCCAATGTAAAATGCCAAAGAAATAACTAAAGCTTGGGATATTTGTATTTGAG